CAAGGATACGTGCTGGTAGAGTTGTGCCACATTGTTCGTCCAGAAGATGCAGCCTTGCCAGCTGCATTCGAAGGGTGTGGGGAACAGAGGAACGACGGTCTCAATAGGCGGAAGATAGCAACGAGGCCAATTGCTTGAGGACTGCAGTTGCTGACCAAGGGCCAGAAGGCAGGTGACCCAGGAGTGGAAGTGTATATGCCTGAGCGCGCTTTCCAGTTCGAGGTCAGCCAAATCCGACTGACAAATACCGCAGTTTATGCTCGCTGAGCGTGATGCCCCGGCAAGTAAATCCTATAAAGCAATATCAAGGACATTAGTTCTGTCGGAAAGTTAAAGAGGATAAGTTGACCAAGATCTACTTCAAACGCCTTCGTGAAACTTTCTTGCTAACTAAGATAAAATACGCAGGAGAGAAGTATTATCGACCCTGATATGGGAGACTCCAATAGTCCATTCTGGTCAGCCAAGAAAATTCGGTTTAGGTTGACTTTAAAAAAATACTTAGATACTGGTTCAAATCTCGGGGGTTCTAACCCTTGAGATTAGGTATGACTGGCTGATGACGGTTAACAAGCCAGAAATGGCCATTCCGGCCTCCCTTTGCTTTGTCAGATCCATTTCATCAGATACGGATCTGTCTGAAAATTGTTTGGAGCGCTAAAATTGAGTAAAATCCTGAAACTGAAATATTAGTGCTTTTATTACGAGCGTCAAGGCCTTCAAGCAATTGAATAATACTTTAGGTATCTAGGACGACAATTAACTTCAGAAAGGGTAGCAAATACGAAGAGGTGCTACGAAAAAAAGAAACTAGGTAGAACTTTGCCAGAGGGGAGGGGGTTTTATGTGCACTCGATGTGGAAAGGAAGCTTGAACGTTTTCCACGGGATTATCAATCTTTAAGTAGATAACCCTAACATAAAAACTCAACTATGGCCAAGTAACGAGCTGGTTAATTGCAAGTATCTACATGACATCTCTTACCAGGAAATGCGCGATCTGGTGTGCATGAAATGCGGCCGATCCCTCAATTTTTTCTTCACAGCTCGGCCAATTGCATTTCACGAGCAGGCTCTTTTTATGGCGACGCATTGATTACAGCATCAGCTTCGAAGATGGAGAAAGAGAAATTGTTATACAGAACGTTTTAGTTGACCTTTAATAGTTTGAACAGGGAAGTCATGATACAATCATGCAAAGAAACAAAAATTTCGGCGTGAAATCAAGCAAATCATACTGACGAATACGTAACACTAGAAATTTGAAAAATTTCCTCTATAGGCTGTAAAGAAGGGGAATAGCAGAGACTGTTTTGGGGGAGGGAGAACGTTTCATCGCCTCCACAAGGTATCAGAATATACTGACATTATGTTAAGCTTAAACGCTGGGAAGCGTAAAGGACATCTCGGATGCCTTCGTTGACAAAACCAAAGTTGACAATGATGATGGTGATGATGATGATGATGATGAGGAGGAGGAGGAGGAGAAGGAGGTAGATCTTGACTGGACAATTAAAGGACCCTTGACAGATAACCGCATATGTGTGAGCTCGAAGAAGTCAGGTCGCGACGGAAAGTTACCGTCCCTTTTCCTCGACAACGTGAGAGGAGCGAAGAATGCTAACAGGCGCATCTGAATGCCACTAGAATATTCCGCTGCTTTTCCAGACGAGTGTCTCATCTGTTTACAAGCGAAGGTTACAGGAGCTCAGACAGTTAGTTTGTCATTTTAGACTAACTGTATTACAAGAGTGATGTTCATCACGCGACAAAGGGCAGCTTATCCCATCTGTAAGATGAGGGCTTGTGGTTTTGTTTTGACTTTGAGTTTAAGCGAATTCGACACCTAAAAAATAAAAAAATTGCTGAATATCTATTCTAAACTAAAAGTAGAGCGATAAGAGCCCAATTGAGCTGACCGCGCAGCTATTGCCAATCGATGGGAATTGACAAAAAAGGGTTATGATTATTTTCCTTTTCAGGTTAATAATGAACTTCTTCCACCACCAACGTGGATTACAAAAAGGGCCCAATAATCAAAATTTATTAGGTTGTGCACATTAGGGCTAAGCCATAAGAGACTTTAAATAAAGCATCCAAAATCAAGGATAATTAAAGCGTACAAAACTAATGTTTACATTTAGTTGTCTTAATAATTCATATCCAACTCAACTGGTGTCATGGAATTATCATAACTGCAGCAGATGGTCAAAAATAGTTAAAAACGACTGTGGCTTTATCGAAGTGGAAAACAGTGCCTTAGAAGTATGTCTGTGATGTATGAAAACTAAATGACGAAAAGACCATTTTTATTTTTTTGATATGTCTGCTGCTAAATGTAATTAACGAACGTATGTGCTGGCATATTGCATCAGATGATGCACCGACACTCGCACTAATGAGCTAGATCTAAAGACTGGCGAGTACATGCGATGATAATATTCACAGGCGTGAGGCCAGCGATCATCTTGTTTGCTAAAGCTTAAAAGTCAACATTAACTTTGATCGCTGACTAAGCAAAGTGACGCTATCAATTTAGTGAAGTGGGTGCGCTTGAAACTTTTGTTCGAAAAAAAGGATTGTACCAGAGACTTTTCGTGTCAGTCAGGGATACAGTCCTACCCAAAAGAACCAGCTAACGTGGAATTACTGTTGCACACACAACTCTGCTACAGCTCTCAGAATGTACGAGTGAAATAAAACGGATGCGATTGATAACAGAGCGAGGCGAATCCTGAAACAAAGGAGATATTTTTCAACGATGGCACGTTCCCATGAGAAAGCAGAGCGTCGGTAATTTCACCAGGGATGATGCCACAGTTAGTCATAAACTATTTCTGATATATGGTTTTGACGTTCTTGGCACGTCCTGTCATTAAATCACCATCAAGTAGGGACCACCATCGACCTAAAGCTAATATATCCGGGGGTCAAAGTTTGTGTTTTCATGATCCATAGGAACACTGCCATACCGATTTGTCATCGCATGGGATTCCTCAAAACAACTACCACACTGCTTTAAACGCCAGCTAACCGAACAAATGTTTCGGCCTCATTTAGGACGACCAGTCTGAAAGCCTTATGGGGCGAATAAAAATGTTTACACGAAGATTTTATTAGAACCTTAGGCTGAATGCAATCGTTATAGCCGTTTCTTCTTAATAAGTATCAATAACAACCAACGTTTCTTCTGGCAGAAATAATGGTGCGTCGCAAAACGCGTTAGAGCGGATTGAACGGCGGTGTTTTATTCTCCTGAGTTATGTCTTCAGAATGTGATATGTGCCTACGCACATTTTGGGGATTTGGAGGCCTTATATCGGCTAGCAGTAAGCGATACATGCGTCGTTATGTGCTCGTCACAGTCGAGTATAACAGGAAAACCACCAAACCAGGCCCACGATTGCCGGGCATTAGCGCATTACATACATGAAGCATCTGGCCCGAATATATGCATATTGCTCGTGAGTCGATGAATATCTAAGTTCCGTTGTTCTAAGTCGTGGTTTTTGTGAACGCCAATGTAAGATCCCACCGAAATTACCATCGGCGCCATTAGCAGAGCTGGCGAAAACATGGCGTAGAGTGCATGTGAACTTCGTTGAACCGTTCTTCAACCACGCATCTGCAGTCTGTTGTCGATGTATAGCCAATGTGACTGGGATTTTCGACCACTGATGAATATAAAAAGATGGGAGAGACTGGAACAGCTAGTGGCACCCAATTCACGTCACTATGGTTTCTACTCTTCTGCCAGGAATGGAAAATTCCGCATGTGAAGTTACCACATTTTCCCTCTACATTTGAGGCAAGCCAGAATTTGTCGTTGGAACTTCCAAGAGAGTAATTAAAACGATGTAAAAACATTCTTTCAAACAGATTACTTCAATGCAAACCTTATGGTCTGCAGAACAACATCGGAAATTAACCTTAGCGGTCAAGCACCAGTTTGGGCTGAACGCCTAAAATATGAAGTTGTTATCTAAAATCGGAGTTCCGAGTTTCCAAATGTGCTATACTTACGCATTCTTAAAAGTGGTTAAGTGTTTGCCAATCATTACCAACGCAGTGGCAAGCCGTGGGTAGCGGGTGCAACCAGGAAGTGCAGATGCTTGGTGTTCGAAGTGGAAGCAGCAAGTGAAACGGTCACAGCTCACGTAAGCCAGCTCATACCCTGATTCACCAGAGACGGCCAAGTAACACTCGACCTGTTATAAAATACTTTCAAGACTCCGACGCCTTAAGTGGGCAATCAGTCGGTGACTAAACACAGCTGCCACAGAAGGACATAGCCGTAATAGGAGAGATACGAGACCCCCATTCGAAAGTGGGTGCTTCTTTGGAAAGCACAAACTGAATGAAGTCACAGTCTGCGGTAAAAGGGAAGCACAGTCATGCAGAGCATAGCACGCCAAGACGAAGAAGAAATGCGCCTGTAAATTCAGCTAGTCGGCCAGGGTTTGCTGCATCCTCAAGCAAGCGTGATGCCTTTTCTCATGTCCATGACTTATCAATGGTCGGTCGATCCTTCGAAGTTGAGTCAGAATTGCTTATTTGCCCCCCCCAAGACACGACTGAGCCATTGGAAACCAATCCACGTAATGCACGCGACACTATGGCAAATTCTGGGAACAGTAAGTATTTCCATTTCCTTACCCTAACACTAATATTAACGCAAACCTTACCGTAACTTTAACCCTAACCATGTCCCTAACCTTAAATTTAACTCTAATTTCCCCGGAATTTATCGCAGGACCACCTGTATTACGGGTGGTTCTCGATCCCTGTTTAACCGGGGCCATCCAAGCGCTCCATCTACTCGATTTTTCCCTAAGGTTACTCTTGTGCAAGAAACAGACAATCCATGATCAGCACGCCAAGGCCAGAATGTCCGAGAACACTGAAAATCAAAGTAATATGGTGCGTTTCAACACATTAAGCATCGTGCTACTCAGTTCGGCAGACTGCAGAGATTGTTATCGAAACCAGCCCTGCTTCACTCCCATTCACTTAACCAACCGGTTGTGTAGTAGAATGCTTTAAGCAGGAAATTTTGTCGAGGCTGCAGATTTAAATCACACACCAAGACTGAGTAAACCTCGATACAGCAACAGTGTTGGCGCTTACATCGCATCTGTTATTCAATTAAATGCACGGTTTATTACAAAACGCTGACACCAGGTAACACCGTTGATATTGACATACAGACTGGCTACTGACTATCTGCGTAGTAGATTGGATCAAATAATTTATTTTACTGTGGGCCAAAAGCGCCTACCTAAAGGTCTGTCATGAGGTCCACTTGTTATGCGCTTCTGATCCACAGCACGTAAACATGTTTGACCCGATCCACCGCCCAGACGGTCATTGTCTGACATACATTTAGGCTGGCACGTGCAGAGTGCCACTCGTCCCAAATGACTAAACAAGACCTACCCATTTGTACTAAAATTCGCCAAGTCCGTATGCATACAAAAAGCAATCAAATCTTCGTTGTCTCAAACATCCGGCATTTTTATTTGAGGATATCAGCGATTTGATTGAACTGGAACCAAAATCTCCCTCAGAAGTTACATCCACGTTGACTTCGAGTGAATAATACTTTCGATAAAATATAAAGTTCTGGCATTTTGCAGACTAAGTCCCTTTCCGAGATAACGGACTTGTGTTCCTGTCTGCGCGTATTTTGATCGCGTATTCTCAAACCTTGCCACTGCTCACACTTTTGCGTTAAACAGAAGATTCTCTGTACTTTCTTAGCGTAATACTAGACTTTTTTTGCAAATTGTCGCTAAAGGAAGAAATGTACTCCCTTAAAAGTCAATACTGGTCTTACAAGAGCTCCAATGGACGACCTTCGTATATTAGAAGCTACAAGAGTTCAATAATCTGCTCGAATCAATCGAAGCGGCAACTGACTTTCCTTGATGTGCTCGTTAACTAGTCTCATTCTTCTTCTTCACTTGTGCATGTGAGTGAGTATTTGAAAAAATGAGCGGATGAACGTGAAGCCAATAAAAATGCAGGAAGACCTACAAACAGACTAGCGGGTATATCCCAACGTTTTTACGTACTATATTCATTATTATATTATTTTAGATTACTTTCTAATTTTTTTAGATGTAGGAAATGGTGGTTAGGAGGTCGTCTACTTCAACTTACCTGTGGTCCAACTTACAGTCCTGGAGTTAGTTTAGTTTGGTCCGCGGCGCGAAGCGCCGCGCACACCTTATATTTACGTACGAAATAACTTACAAAAACCCTTGAATGTGTTCTCTATCAGTTTTGGCAAAAAAAACATTACAAAAAACATTGCAAATTCCGCCAATATATTGGACGGTCGTGCTGCACGTTCATTGGTTAAAAACATCCGCCAGATCTGTCCATATAGGGTCTCTCCTTGTGCATACCCCTGCAATGGGCACATTCGTCTCCACCCGTAAACTTATTTATCCTTAATTTTATTCGGTGTAGAAATGAGTATGGCACAATGAAGTGCATATTCAAATGCTGGCTCGAGTAGATCCAACGAACAGAAAACAAAATCCGATTGTTATAAGCTGTACACACAGAATGCTGTACAATGTGCGTCTCAGGATTCGGCTACTTTGGGCACACTACGGCTTAGTATGGCCTATCGATCTTGAAGTGCACCTCCGTACTCTTCCTGTTGTTGATGCC